GCAAAGCTTTTAAAATACATCGTGTGCTTCTAGGAATTTATATTGCACGATTTTTTGACTCGTGGTTATATTTGAAAATGTAGTGTACGAATGGCTAAGAGTAGAAAACGATAAGGTAAGTGATTTTTTTTTTAATTTGCAAAATTTGATATGAGTAAGAGTGGCGTAAAAAATGAGTGGGTGTACATAATAAAAACCATCCAAAGACCATGCTTAAAAAATCTTAATAATTCAGCATTAGTTGCTGAGATTATAATTCACGAACAAGAGGAATTGTTACAATTTATAAAGGAGAAAGGACTGAAAATTTGTTAAAAGCACATTTAAATGTGAGAAAAACCGTCGTTCACACGCCTTCAATTACATCTTTTATAACATTGAACTTCTGAGTTAATTTTGCAAAAAGAAACAAGACGAAAGATAATGAAAACAAAATAAAATAAGAAAAATAAAAATACAAATGCTCCCCTTTCTGTATGTATACATATTTCAAATGGAAACACAAATAAACCCTGAAGGGTGGTTAATTTATATTATGCTTGAAAGATGCATGTGCAATAAAGTACACACAATATAAGATGGTAAATCGTAAAAGGACACTTTGGCTGGAAAAGTGAGGTTAGTTAAGCCGTAAATTGTTGTTCGTAAGCCGAGAAACTTTAAATACTTTTCCTATCGACACTTTTTCGCGTATAAAAGTTTCGCTATACGTTATGGTTCATCAACAAAGTATCTACATCGGCGTGATAGAAAGGATTTTTGCTTTACCTATGCTTGGATTTACCAACTTACAAAACTACAGATAATTTGTCGAATTTATCGTCTTGACGATTTCTGAGAGGGAATAATGAACACGTGGAAATTAATTCCCCTGCTGGGTTAAAAACGTGCTAACCATCATTCGATTTAAGCGATAAGATATGCAATCTGAAAATAGTTGAGCTGCCTTGTTTTGCAATAGTTTTGAAACGGCTCCGGGCTACAGTATGGAAAAGTGAGTTTCACGCGGACAACGGAAAATACAAATCTCTCTCTCTCTAGATCGATATTGCTGAGACTCTATTGAATTCAATATACAGGGTAAGTAGTTTAGAATTAATGAGCAGTATATTAATTAAATAAAGTTTGAGCAATAACAAGTGTAGCAAATTGTGCGAGTGAGTGATTAATTTTATTAAGTTTTAGTATCACAAATGGTGTAGGGTAAATATGATACAGTGAACCATTTAAAATGGTTGTACTAAAGTTTGTAGAAACAATTAAAACAATTAAATGTGTTTGCCTCTTCTTTAGAAGTGTGTTAAATAACAGCATCAATTTTATGTTTCGAGTGAAAAAATAAAACATGTTATCAGATTTGCTAGAGCATTAATCCGGGGATTAACTAAAACTTAAGGAACGCTAAAAAATCCTGACAGGATTGTTAATGGGCAGCAGTTTCTATCAACATTGTATGCGGTAAGCAGGAACGGTATGATCGGCTTAAAGAAAAGAAGAACGCAGGAAGAGAGCCCCAACCCCGAATTAACCTTAATTTGGGTAATTATTTAAGTTCAACTCAAAACGCGGCTGGAAATAAATGGGTCGCCTCTCTCAAATTACCGCCAAGTTATATTGTGCATAAAACGAATTATACGGTGCAACGTAAAAATCGAATTAACACCGTCACCGTTCCCTCGTCACTTTCAATATTAACATTAGTCCACAAAAATTTTGGTTTATCGGCATTCTGTTGTGAGCTATCAGTAAAATTTGCAGGTGCGATTTGGCGACATGCACAATGTGTATGGATCATCTACGATGAAACGTCATTATGGTCAAAGAAAAACGTTTTGGTAATAACAAACATTTCCTTTGTTTTGGCTCACAATAAATAAAATAATGAAATAAATAAAGTAGAAAGAAACATTTTGTTTAGTCGTTTAGTTGTGTAATTAGTAACGTTAATAAGGCATAATGGTGCTTGATTTTGTATATAAGTAGCCCAAGTATTTTGCATGTTTGTTTGCTTTTATCGGAAGTCACGTTTCGGCGATTAGGAGAGCTATCCCTGCCGTGAACAAACACATAAGATGTGTCACTGGCAAATGAACTAAAGCTCGATTCTTTGATGCTAAGCACGTCAAATATCTCCGTTCGACTATAATCTTACACATGTTCCGTGTATACAAGGCGGAAAGAAATGATAAATGTAAATTGACTACTACAAAACACTGTTTAGAAGATAAGCCACGAAACGACTCCGCCGCATCTTATTCTATCCACACATTTTTAATGCCAGTATACCAAAGTATAGTGTGTTACTTTTTATGCAGACGTGGCTTTATTTACCTACCTTATGAACATTAAAGCCAATAGCTTATTTTCTATGATGAAAATTCAGGAAATTATTAAACAAAAGCCACAGTTTATGATCATTTCAGGAAATTATGGATTCTTATCAGCAGAATTACGTTTCGCTAAAACGCTGTAAAGATCGAAATCCTAGAATTTCAATTAACCTAATGCTTTTGTCAAAATAAAAGTTTTTTATTGAAACAAAATTGGAGGAGTTGATGATTGCTTTGTAATATATTTGATCCTTTTAATTCCAATAGGCTTGGGACGTTGGTTGTTTTTACCCATTTTATTCGAATTGATTTGCATTTCCACACGAAATGCTACTTTTAGAGGGCGAAACACAAATGATAAATACAGGTTCGTTTCACTAGATATGAAATGTTGTTTATAGTCGCTTGATGGTGTTTTAACGGCTTTGCCAGTTTTACTACATGACAGTATCAACAGAAATTGTTTTTTTCACGCTAAAACATTTTACTACTGTGAGCATGTTTCAAAGCTAAAATGACGTGATGTCGTCATTATGAGAAGTGATGTGGCTGGGATAACGAAGTTTCGAAAAAAGGAAAGCTAACGCAATATTATGTATCAAAGAAAAGTTGAGAATTTTAGCCTATGAAAGTAATAATGTGGACCACTTGGAAAACAATTAGATGAGACAGGGTCTAACTAATACGATAGGACTGCCACGGCAAGTGAACAACCAAACTTTTAATCTTATCAGCTTTCAGAGCCCGACTCGATTGGGAAATTCACCTGAGACATGCCTTTACTTTTGACTTTAACCATGAATACTCTGCGCGGATACTGCACGACCAAAGACAATACGTGGCCAAAAGTTTTAATACACTTGATACCTTCATATTCTTGCCATTTAACTAAATTAAAACAACTTCGATTTTAAACGTTTCCCGTATATTTTTAGTTTATCCACAGTTTTCAAAAAATACACCCAGCAATTCTCTCCAATGTTAAACACCCCTTGGCGTACAAAGGTAGACATGTTGTGAATTTTAAAATGACGCCCTATTATCAAATAAGAAAGATCGAACCAAACGTGCAGTCAAAAAGCAAAAATTCCACCCATTCTGCATATATACCTATATATATACTTGCGGCTGGCTATAAATTAATTATGAAGAGAATTAAGCCATTTTCGATTTTCCTGTAATTTAAAATTCAATTACAGTTATATAACTTTTGCTTCATTGAATATTCTTACATATTTTAAAAGCCAAGTTCCTGGATATGAGATTATCCAATCAATATCCAGGATTGGTTTTATTCAATTTAACTTTTTTTAAAGTGTTAAATTAGTCAGCGTCTCCTTTTAAAAACAGAAATATTTATTTGAATGTCAAGTTACTTATTTTGGGTTCTAGGATTAAAATTTTAGCATGCAATGCTCATTGATTTTATCGTACATTTTTATAAACTATTGCATCATAATAAATATTTAATTATTAAATGCTAATTGAACAATTTCATTATTAAAGCAAAGGAGCATTATTAACAAATAAGCTGTAATATTAATTAATGATAAATTGATTGACAATTAATATAGCTACCTATAACCGGATCACAAACATCAAACATATCAAATTTACGTAATTAAAGGATTTTTATCAAAGCAATATCTGGAAAAATTTTGCTTTTTGCATAAATAATTTAAAGATAACGACATACCACTTTTTTATAATTAAATTTTTACGCCCACCGAATTTTTTTTTTTGTAAAAAAAATTAAATTTAATCTTGAATGCATGAATTTTTGTGTCGAGACGTTACGTAAAATTGTATTTCAAGATAGAGAATTTAACAATACAATTACCCCCCTAAAAATATTATCGTTATTTTCGGACACCCTGTAAAAATTGTACAGTAAATGGCGAATGGATTAGAAGCTGTTTTAAGGATTAGTTTAATTAGATTGTTGAGCAGAATTCCTCGAAATTTTGATTCTCTATGTAATTTATCTGTAAGCTTCCTTTAGCCAGCCTGGAAATGAAAACTATTCACTAGAAACCACCTATTGTGTATTATAATCACAAGAATGTATAACATCGAAGCGGCTGGAAATTATTCTCCGAACTCTATTATCGGAAATTTTAATTAATTTTTATACCAAATTATATCCGCTATTACGAAAATGAAATGGTCAAAATTTTACCAGAATTTTTTAACTAATAAAATAGTCGTTTTCACTTTAAAAATAGTTATTTTTTACTACGTAAATATTTAAAGTTTGACTAATTTAAGATTAGTCACCATCTTTGACTATTTCTGAGAGTTAAAAGTAACTGATTTCTTTAATCGTTTGCGGCCAACAACAAAGTATTATTTGAATTAAATGCATCCCTATAGGCTCCATGGTTAAATGGCCCATAAAAACAAACAAAGATGCAAAAAGTTTAGCTCAAAACAGCAACACAGATAATATATTCAACTTTAAAATATTATAAGAGCGGTTGATAGCCAGATTGGTTATGACAACAGCTTGACAAGTGACAGACCTGAGTTCAATCCCCGGCTGGGTCAAAACTTTTTTAAACTTAAATCTACTATTTTGACTATTTTATTTAGTAGAATTTCACTTATAATTAGTTATTTTTGACTAGAGAGTACAATCTAACAATACATTGTCTTGTATAGCAGACTTACGGTTTTGTCTTTGAGCAGTCCGATGCGGCAGTCCAGCATGATGGTGGACCCGACGCGGGCAGTGATGTTATGGGGTTCGGGTCCTTCCTCGAAAAAAGGGCCCCAACGGGAGTCAGGAAGGTGATAATGAGGCACCGGCAGACCTCTGCCGTAACCGTGACGCACCGACTCGCTGCCTTTGGTGGAAAATTCCGGGCTCTCAGTTGTCTCAGTTGATGCCGACAAGAAAGAGGCTGCACCTGAAATATAATGGATTTTCTGTCACGCCCCAACTAATAATCAACCTTTGTCTTTGCTGATTACAATCGACTGACTAAAGATATCAGTTTGAAATTTTAAAAGCATTTAGATCAATTTTTCTTAGGGTTGCGGAATTTTTGGAATCTTAAAACATTGTTTAAAAGATTCCATGCCAAGTCTTTTTTCAAAATCTATTGTAAAAAATCTGATTTTGTCGTACTGTGTTATAAGTTTCTTAATGATAAAAAATTGTTTTTCTCATTATGCAACGAAATGCCATGCATGAAATACAGTCGACAGATGTATGTGTGTGTGTGTGTGGTTAAATACAATGGGCGATATCTTGCGGAAAGGAAATATCGTGGAAATTAGTGTATTCTGACCTCCTGCAGTGTTGGCAGGAATATTGGAGGATGGACGAGCGACTGTTTCGGATTCGAGCTCTATCTCCTCGCTTAGCCGGGACACTTCCTCTGATAAAAACGTTGTCGTCTCATTGTCTGAAACAAAACAAAAAAAAAAAACGTTAAAATGTTTGAATGCACCGAAAGCGATGTTTTACTGAATTATTTTCATAGTTGGCCGGAATCAATAAATAAACATAAATCAGGAATTAGTAGGAAACCAGGCCACAACGATTACGTTTTAGTTATGTATCTAGGGGAACAAGACATTTTATATTGTCGTATAACAATTGTTTGTTATTTATTGGCCTGTCCGCTGCTTTCCAGCGAAACTGGCACTTGTGCCGAAAATGGAAAAGAAGAATGAAAGTGCAGTTAAAAGCCTAATAGCTTTAATATTGATCCCTATTATAATTTAATCCTGGCGATTTATTCCCGATGCTTGATTAATAATTTGTCTGGAAACAATTCGTTTAAGCAAATAGAGGGCGGGTGAAGAAATATTTGTTTCACACTTTGTAAGCATTACAATTCAAAGATAATTATCTGTTTGCAAGATCTATTTAAAAACGTGAAATGCTCTATAAGTGTGGACCTAAAAAAATATCATGACCATAAAAATAACCTTCATTATTTATGCTTTTTTAGTTTATTAAACTTTTGTTTGAACTATTTTGTGCTCTCCAGTTTTTTACCAAATTAGCTTAATTTGATATTTATATACTTGTATATTAGTGCTGTTAAATACAAGGAAACGCTCTTATTTTTCCTCCTATCATACAAACTACAAAACCTTATCAGATATTTATTTATTCTTCCCATCCACTTTCATTTAAGTGCTGATTTCTCGTAGGAAAAAACCTGGTAATAAATGCGACATTTAAAAGTGTTTCGCAGCTATAACCGAGATCTGGACAGCTTAACTTTGCACTAGATTTTCGTTAAAAAGAACAAATTTATGCTTCACTTGAGTTTTCTGGAATTGTATCACTACACCTAAAGTCTCCCCAGGGATGAATCAAGAGTAAAGTGACCGGATTCTTTGCGTCTTTATACGGACCTCCAGTTTATACTAATAGCCATTTTATTTGTTTTTCCTGCATTTTAAATTAAATATTACTGTAATTATTTTGTGGCTTATCTTCGACTCGAAAATAAATTAATAACATAAATTTCAAATAGATAGAGTTTAATCGATTTATTTGAATGATATATGGCCTCTGTGGATTAATATTAAACGCAACAAAAATATTTAAATAAATGTCACCGATGGTTTAATTATGAAACTTTATCTACTTCATCATATGAGTTAAATTGGTGATACCCTTAAACTTTCAGGACCCTTTAAATCCACTTTGGGCCTAAGTTTCTACTTTTAAGCCAGCGGTAGTTTGCATACATAAACCCAACACACTTAACAAAATAATTAAGATCGAACCTAAATAATTATTATTATCGTCCAATTTTACAAATTATATTCGCGCAATCTGACATGTCAAATTTAAAAGAAGATTTTTGATGGAGGTCTGTACAATTTAGCCATTACATAATTAATATTGTTCAAGGTAAATTTACTTCACTAAATTAAGTTAGGTTCGATAGCATTAATTATGTATCTGACACCTTCTACAGAAATACTCTCTTTGTTCATTAAACGTCATTAAAGTTCCGCTTTACATAAGAAGTTTACCACTGTAATTTATTAAACGTAAAATTAATAAACATGGTTTTAAAACTTAAAATTGTAATTTTTTCTTCAAAAATGGCGAATGCGCCGAAGTATATCGTTTAACCCGCAAAATAACACATTTTGTTGCAAAAATGGTGAATGCGCCGGGATGAAATAATTATGTGTAACGTTCTAGGTCCTTTGAACTAAAAAACCATTGTCAATGATATAAAGTATACAACTTTTTGACCTCAAATCGATAGGTGCCTATTTAAGGATTTGCTTGTGATACCTCATTTAAAAGGTTTTTTTAATTCTCTATTCGAAACTATTTAAATTTTTAAAATCCGTTTAACGGTTGTTAAGTAATTGAGAATTTGAGTTTTTTAAACTAATGAATTTTCTTGCTACCCTTGGCAGCTACCTAAGTTGCCCTGGCGGTACGAATTACCGACCATTTAATTTTTTTGACATTTTTTTTGTTTTGTAAAAAAACTCGACTTCGACAAAAATTTAAATGTTTAATATCTAAGTTGAATAGAGAATCGGAATCGGTTTATTTCTATATATTTTTTTAAAATATTTATAGAGTGCTTCACTTATTTTCGCTAGGTATGCATATGGTAATTTTAATTGGGTACTATAAAATAAAGATAAAAACTCAATATGCGTATGCGGAGATTATAATTGGATAAAGTTAAACAAAAGTTAAATGAAAATAATGGGAAATCGATGGGCTCAAATTATAATTAATGATATATTATAAACAATATCTCTTTCGGCATGTATCAAGGGGTGTAAATTGAATTGCGTGACCTTAACAGTGTGGTGTGGATTATCTAAACCATACATTTATTTGCATAGATTTCGAAACCGCGACACGAGTTTAAGGATAGTTTTTTAATGGTATATTTTGAAATATAAGTCAGCAAGATAAACGAGATAATTTTTCCCCAGAAAGATTAGCATAATAATTTTGAATGATTAATGATGTAATGATGAAAGGCCTGAAAAACACCACGAACAGCATGTCCTTTAATAGCCTTAAATAAACCTATACATAATGAGATTATTCGATTACTTAAAGTTGAAAATTTAATTGGCACAACACCAATTAAAAGTTTTCTAAATAACTTTTTTATTTCTTATCAGCGATCTTAAAAGTATTGTCCTCAATTCGCGAAAAATGATGTGTTTTGATGTTTATAACTTTGCAGGACAATCAAAAGAAATGTTTAATAAGGACTTTTCATTTTAATAAATTTCCAATTTAATTTTTCGCTTCTCACAGCAGATTTGGACAGTTTATCAGAATTGATTGGGCATAATCACTTCGTACAATAAAGGTTTGATGCACTTATTCCGCTAATATTACGTTTTACGTGTTCAATTGCAATTTTCGTCTAGACACTTCCCCGAGAAATTTCATTTTAGATACGAGAAAACGTCCACTATATCATTCGTATTATTACTCCTCGATTATCTCTAAGAATATCCAAATCTGGATAAGAAAATTAGGAAAATTGGGCCAAATCATAACAAATTTAATAAAATTTGTTATCAGCGAAAAAAGGGGGGTTTTATCCAGCACAGACGACGCGAAATGGAGTGATTGATATACTGTCAAAATAATAGAGTCGATTCTAAGGACGTCTGATTTATAGCTAACCAATTTCAGACGAAACATTACAACAACGATGTCGGGCCCTTTTTGTACAGGAAAGTTTTGTGGTCAGCTATATCAAACTATCACTTGCCGTCCATTCAAGTTTTTTACGGTGTCAGATCTAAACATTTTAATGTCAACCTTGGAGTTTATTGTCGAATAAAAAAATGCCCAGAGCAATTCGCAGTAAATTTTAACTGAGCGTTTACAACAAATAATTAAATTAAAATCAGATATTATCGCAAAACAATTTTCGGACCGCCTCAAATTAGTTATTACGAATTTTCGAATAGTTTGCAAATTCTGGTTAATATTTTAGTGTCTCTCTGCTGAATTCACAAATGTTTGTAGGACATTTATGCTTCTATTAGATGATGTGTACATTCAAACGAATAAATTATTTATTTTATTGGAATCGCCAATCCATTAATATTTCCTTTTCCATGCGATTATATGCGGGATGACATCGCATTTTTTATCAATATTTAGATTAACAAACGACGTTGGCGGCTGCAAAGCCGCCGTTATATTTAACGCTCACAATGGTATACATTTGCTTGATTTAAAATTGTTACAGCCGTACTGCAGTGGAATAAAAAAAAAATAAAGGCACAATTCGATTAACATTGACAGAACCTATTTGAATTTCAAAATGTAGGATTAAACACTTTCAAACGATTTTATAAGCGAGGGAGAGGGCCAGATAATTGTCTCTCTGCCGAAAGTCTATTAAGCAACAGATTTAGTGTGTAATTTTATTTTTGTTGAAAAACGCTATTAGAAAATTTACTACCGACCCTGATTGTACAATTTTCTTCGAAAAGTTAATAAATCAATTTTTATTTTGTTCATTAAAAAACACTTTTTATGTATGAGTATATTTTAAGAACTGTGCTCCACAATTGTTTACATCCACTCTATTTTACTCAATTATTTGTTACCCACAATGGTTATGGTTCTGATAGTTTGGATTTCTGGGGTACCTCAGGGTTCTAAACTGGGTCCACTTCTATTTGTCCGTTCTATAAATGACATTTCCAATTTTGTAACGTCTCCACATTTGATTTTTGCTGAGGATTTAAAATTGTTTTTTGATATTTTAGTTGCATCAAACTATATATAGACAAAATCAGCTAAACAATTAATAACGATTCCATCCCAGGGATTTTCATTCCAAAATATTATTTTCACTGGTATTGTAAAATCTTGTTTCAAAATGGTTATTTATATATTTTGTATTATTAACATTGTTCTGTAATAGAAAAACCATTTATGTTCGGCAATAAAGATATTATTATCATCAGCATGTCTACCTGGCACTGATGAGATCCAAAAGACCGTCTGTCGGTGCCTGTTTGTGGAGCAAACTTAAAACAAAAGCACAGTGACGAGGTAAAAGGCAATTTGGGCACAACACGTTTTATTTTTTAACAAAATAGTAATTTTGTTTGTTTTTTTCCAAACAAATTTAAAATAGCTCTAACAACATCTACAACTACAACATTTACATAACATTACCCTCGAATAATTTACAAGGTAATAAAAACAAACAAGCTGATGTGTAAATAAGGTTTCCACTTTTTTTTACCTTAGAATGGCTTTTAAATGGTTAAAAGTCTGGGTAAAGGAGAGCCCAACATCTGGTGTAAAATTTTCATGAAACATTTAAGAAGTAATTAATTAGGCCAGAGTGTTGAGATAAGTACAATAAAGCGATATTCTTGAATAAAATAGAACTTAAAGGTAATAAAATAACAATAGAAGTTGGGAATATCATTTTCAACCTCACGCCTCGAAATTAGTTTTTTGTTCAGACACCTTTGAGAAAATTAAAAGGACATTTTTATGAGAATAGAGAATATAATTTAAAAGCCTAGGAGTTAGACCGCATTATTGATAGTCGTCATTTTTATCTCTGGCCGAACAGTATCTTTTAAATGTATTAAAATTTAGTAAAAACTTTAATCAACTTGAGTTTATAAAATAGCTTGGCATAAGGTATAAAAATAGGCTAATACATTATGCTTAGGGAATTATTGACGTTATGGAAGATGTATTGCGTTAATAAAACGTATTGGCTGGAAGCGTGTCTGTTTTAATGTTGGCTGAAAATGTAGACCAAGTAACAGTTTTATGAAATGTGTAAACGTATATAAACTGATCGAAAAAAGTTAAGGATATTGTTAATTCTCTAAGAAAAAAATAGTTTTCAAAAAAATTTGTATAACGTACATTTACTGTCATCTCTTTTAGAAATAAAACACATTTGTTTAACTGAAAAAATTCTTTAATTAAAATTTACGGGCAACTTTCCTCTTACAATGTAACAAAACAGATAATTATAAAAAAGAAAAAAATGATTAATAGCGTGTAATTCCACCTCTGTTGGCTATTACTGCTTCAACTCGGCGAGGGATGCTTAAAATTAAACGATCCAAGTCATTTTGATCCAAGGTGTCCCATAAATATGGAAGAACTTGCCTCAACGACCTTACGTCCTGAACAGGAGGTTGATGGGCAATTGGTGCCCTTCCGAGCATGTCCCAACCATGCTCGATGCAGTTTAAATCTGGAGAGAGCGGGGGTAATGGCAAATGATTAATTTCATGGAATACTAGCTGTTCTTGTACTACCCTGGCTCTGTGCGGGCGAGCGTTATCATCCAGAAATCTGAAATTGGGCTCCAAATTCCAACGATAATCATCCACAATGTTATCAATGATGTCGCGAGCATAAATTTCACCTGTCATAGTACCTTCACTTCTTGAACATACCGGTCATTAACTCTTGAATTTATTGGTCCCCAGACAAAAACTGTAATTCTGTCAGCACGAAGACAAAAGCGGCTTTCATCGCTGAACATCACAGTATACCACTCATCCAGTTGGCTCTTTCATTACACCAAAGCAAACGTTGAGCTCTAGGGACTGCAATCAATGAAGGGCGTCCTATAGGCCTATATCAATGTAAACCTGCTTTATTTAATCGATTTAAAACCGCCCTAGGGGTAATACAAACTCTATTGGCAGCGAAAAGGTCCTGGCTGAGGAACGTGCAGTCTAGAAAAAATGTGGTATAGCTATTATTACCTATGACGTTTATGTTTAAGAAAATATTGCTTGCAAACATATAAAATTGTACCCAAACAGATAAAAAGCATTTTATCACAAAAAATGTAGTTTTTTGTACAGTTTAGTTTTGTTTGTGTGTTGCTAAGCGCAATGTGGTCTGTGTGGTTATTCTGTCATCGACAATATGAATAGACGTTATTTAACGGTAGAAGAAGCAAATCAAGCCATTGGATTGCTTCTTGGAGGTGCGCGACAGATCGATGTAGCTGATCGGTATAATGTCTCTCAAAGTGTAGTTTCCCGACTTAGTAACCGATTTAATGAAACTGGATCTGTCCTGGAAAGGCATAGGGAGGGTAGACCAAGATCGACAAATGCTAGGGAAGGCCGAAGATTAGTGAGAGGAGCTAGGATGGATCCTACAAGAAACTGCACGTTTCTCAGCCAGGACCTTTTCGCTGCCAATAGAGTTCGTATTACCCCTAGGACGGTTTTAAATCGATTAAATGAAGCAGGTTTACATTGCTATAGGCCTATAAGCCGCCCTCCATTGACCGCAGTTCATAGAGCTCAACGTTTGCTTTGGTGTAATGAAAGAACCAACTGGAATGATGAGTGGCGTACTGTGATGTTCAGCGATGAAAGCCGCTTTTGTCTTCGTCCTGACAGACGTACAGTTCGTGTCTGGAGACCAAGAAATTCAAGAGCTAATGACCGGTATGTTCAAGAAGTGCATCCATTTGGAGGTGGAGGTGTAATGGTCTGGGGTGGAATTTTCTACGGAGGTCGAACGGAGTTGTATGTTTGTGAAGGTACCATGACCGGTGAAATTTATGCTCGCGACATCATTGACTACATTGTGGATGATTATCGTTGGAATTTGGAGCCCAATTTCAGATTTCTGGATGATAACGCTCGCCCGCACAGAGCCAGGGTAGTACATGAACGGCTAGCATTCCATGAAATTAATCATTTGCCATTACCCCCGCTCTCTCCAGATTTAAACTGCATCGAGCATGGTTGGGACATGCTCGGAAGGGCACTAATTGCCCATCAACCTCCTGTTCAGGACGTAAGGTCGTTGAGGCAAGTTCTTCCATATTTATGGGATTCATTGGATCAAAATGAGTTGGATCGTTTAATTTTAAGCATGCCTTGCCGAGTTGAAGCAGTAATAGCCAACAGAGGTGGAATTACACGCTATTAATCATTTTTTCTCTTTTATAATTATCTGTTTTGTTACATTGTTAGAGAAAAGTTGCCCGTAAATTTTAATTAAAGAATTTTTTCAGTTCAACAAATGTGTTTTATTTCTAAAAGAGATGACAGTAAATGTACGTTATACAAATTTTTTTGAAAACTATTTTTTTCTCAGAGAATTCACAATATCCTTAACTTTTTTCGATCAGTTTATATATATTATAAATGTGAAGCCTTTTTTGTTCCTCTGTTTTGATGAAATTTGACATTCGGGGACGGACATTTACTTTTTGACCTTTGACCTTCGATATTTGAACTTTGGCCCTTTTTAATTGCACGTTGCAATTTTAATTTCTCTTTATATGTATTACTTTACAATTTCGAGCTAATTAAAATAATATAATTAATAATATATAGTGGGACTGCATACATACATATAATACTATTATATTTAAGCTGCAGCTGAGGTGTTGTATAATTTCTATTTAAGCAAATATTAATTATGAACATGCTACTAAAATATTTGGGTAATTTGGGATGTTCGTTGGAAATTAATATATTCGTGAAGCGTTTTAAGCTCTCTATGAGGTTTTAGCGAATTTTCCAGACGTTGAAAAAGGGACCGGGTCAATGCAAATTGAAATTAGGCCTTTCTATATACGACTCCTCTGCCAAACACATCTAAATCCTTAATCAACATTAAAGCATAACTCTCAATTAAAAGGCTATTTTTCGGGTCCGACGGATATTAAAGAATGATATAAAAGCCTGAAAATAAGTGCCTGGCATAATGAAATAAAGAAGCAATCGGGAGAATGTAGTAAAAATATATTACTAGAACTGCTAATAAGCAGTTTGGGCTGAAATTAATCTCCTCCCTATTGATGGAATTATAAAGAGCTGGCACATTTTATTTTCTTTGTTCTATTGTTGAAACCCGAATAGTAGGTGCCTCTCCATTTACATAGCCAAACTACTCGTTTATCATTCCTTAAACGATTCTTTGTCAAACCTAATCAATAGATCTGCTGGGCATAAACATCTCAATCTCGAATCATCTTGTTCCCTTATTTAACTTTGTGAGTTACTGCGAACGAAGTTGAGCAGTAAAAAAGCATTCAATTACATATTCAAGTGGAGACTTGCCAATTAATTTGTGTCCTTTTGGCCGTTTTTTGCCTCCACAATAGGGATTAGGCCTTGTTTCCCGCATACAAATCCAGGTGGCAGTCTTAAATTCTGCCGCTAATTTTCCTGGTTTAATTTAACAACACAGCCTCTTTAAATAATTCTTCGAGGGTTGTTTCTATTTTTGAATTGCTGTTTAGTGGTATGGAAATGGTAAATATGGTTTAGGTGGCTTGTTTAATATACAACATGTAGCTTTATCTCATCTCGTACCCTATAAACTATGCAAATTTAGATGCAAACGATGTAATACCACACAATTATGCGACTATATATATTATTGTAATGGAGGCATATTTGCGCTAACGAGGAAAATTAGCCAAATTATAGACGGATTCAATTTTAATAGCTATAAAAGAAAACGCGAATATCGATCAGATACATTGAATTTTTCTTATAAATCTTTCAGTAAATATATCAAAATATTTTTATGTAACCGGAATACCAATTTTGTTTTACACAAGTCGCCAACTAAAATAGAAATAAAAATTGAATTATGGCTTTGTATTTATCGTATAAAACAAAGATATATTTTTTCATTCTACGTTCTTATTTATCGTTGTTTCATGTATTTTATACATTTGATGGCCATGTAAGTACGTTTTCATCAAATAAGGCTTGTGTGTAATTAGAAGGAAACAATGAAATAGAAAAATAATCATTGACAATATAAAACCTTGTGGTTTAGTGTACTTACCTGCTGCCAAGCACTGCAGTAGTAAGCCGTAGAAGAAAAATAAGTCCAATATCTTTGGATGTCTTTTAGATCCCAACATGTTTCCTTTAGGGCTTCTGATTACTTAGTAACCATCCCCCTCTAACTTGCTCATTCTGCAACAAAACAAAAAAGGATTAATTAACGAATTGTTGCTACAAAATTTGGCGTATTTTCTAAAAACTTTTAAATTTATTGGCTTAAGAGGCGAAGTATAAATTTTATTTATTGGAGCATAATGCTTTAACTTAAAATTTATAATGCTTTAATCAACTTAGGCTAATTATTTAGCGGATAAGGATAAAACATTAGAAAACGGCTCTCCCCATTAGTAATAAAATTAGCATAAAATTTAATTTTTCCCATACGATAAATTTGCGGCTGAAATTTAAATGGTAATTACATGCAAACTTTAATAAATTAGATTTACTTGTCGGATTGAGGTATATCAAAAAAGATAATAAATCACATCGGACACACATATGGAAAATATATTCGAAAACCAGCGTTGAAACAAATTTGAATTTATTTTTCATCAATTATACCACCAACGCAACTCAACTCAGCTGTACCCAGGCAATAATCTTGTTTTACACATTTTTACAACAAATAAATAAAACTCAACAAATATATATATTCCGCTTATCCAACCATACTTAATTGCTGTTTTCAAAGTAACCCGTAAGGTTTTATTGGAAATTGTATGAAAATGTTTACAACGCCCATATCTTAAGTAAAATGTGACTACTGTCAACGATGTCATTTTTGTTTTTATTGTTATGTTATTTACTTACTCTAGCCAAACTTTGAAAGGCTGATTCTTATTTCTGAATTTACCTTTATTAACATTTTTATCATCAAAAACGGCGTTAGCATTTCCTACGTAAGATCGTTTATCGTGAAGGAGCTTAACCCTTTAAGTAGTAACTTGAGGGCTTATATGTAACTGTCTCACAAAAACCACTATACAGAAATGAATGCCCTAGGCTCAATTAAGAACAACTTCACTTGTCTTAGTAGTGCAGTAAGGCAGAGGCAGACATGTTGTATTAAAACTGGAAAAACAAAAAGAAGCCAGATGAGTTTTGCAGTGCTTTGTTGTATGAATATACGTAGATTTACAGTGGTCAATTTGGCGTATGAAAACAACGTCGTAATTCATAAAGTTTAACTACACGTTTCAAACTTGATAATGGGAAAACATCTAATTGTGCAACCGTTTATATTAAATAATTACATATAGGCAATTTGAGATGACCTCTCTCTACCGGTTTAAATTAGTTTTAGCTTTATAGTCGCATTTGTCCGGCGTTAAAACTAGTAAATAAAGTATTAGTATTGCTAATTCAAACCCGGACATGTTGCGGTCTACAAATTGAGTTTGATTTTATACTAATTTCTTCTTAAACGCGTGTTTAAACATTCATTTACAGTTAATTCAACTCCATTAGTTTTAAATAAATATAATACCCAGTTAGTTATTCTGATTTAACTGAAAAAAATCTGTAAACTTGATAAATTATCCAGATGTCATAAATAATTTATATAACAATGAACAGGGATAATATATTTTATATATTATTGAAATTTATTGATAAATTTTCGAACAAACCACCTCACAGTGCTTTAATTTATAAACATAACTGTGTAGTTTGTTTGCCCTTTTTTAACCTAAAACATACAGGTGATTCATCAGATTCTCCCAAAATATCAACCCACATGGTAAATATTGACATGGCCCATCCATAAAGGTTATTAACATCGAAGTAGAGTAAATAAGTTGATGGTTTGGAGATATATTTGGCGACTCTCATAATTATAATTATTACAATACCCTGTGCGTATGGTCGACATCTATTTTAATTACAATTGTATGAATATATATATATATATATGTTCGGTTATTAAAACACCTTTCAAATGACATGTATGAAATTCGTTACATTTCCATTAAACGGCTAAACGGATTTATCTAGTTTAAAATGATATACGATCGAATAAATTCTTATGCATGTTTTTTTATTTTAATGTAATTTTCCTGTAATATCAAATAAATGTGCTTGAATGGAAACGTATTTGCGGGAGGAATTGAAAAGAATTTTAAATATTTATATTTGTCAAATTGTTTGGATAGCGACCGCAAAAGACTGTTATAACATTTTTTTGAATCTCCGAAATTAAATGAGGGTGGAGGAGGAAGAGGCTATGCATTGGAGAATCACATAACGTGGGGTAAAATTTCAATTGCAAAGTGGGTATTGTAATATTGAAATCTAGCAAAATTTAATTTTTTATGAAATCCTTCGATCGAGAAGATATAAAAGTAATTCGTACGACTGGAAAGCGATGTAAAATTTAATTACTCCACTTTATATTCAGCAACTGTCGCTTAGGTTTTTTACTTCTTTACATATTTATGTGGAATATAAAAATTGATGTGCTGTTTTGTCGGATGAATCTTTTCGTATGTAAGCCATTTGTCTGTCGTAAGCCCCAAGACGGACTTTCTTATTGTACTGGCCTTCATTCTAAGAGCAAGGATAATGTCCATGTCCTGTTAAAAGATATACGCGTCCCCAGCCGAAACCCCCTAGTTTTACCACTACTAAAATATACATTTCGAATAAATCTTCCTCCAACTGTAAGCAGAAATAGGAAATATTTTTACGCAGTATAAATATTCGTGGAGGAGCTGTTCCTGACATGAATGCTCTCCCTATTATTTTATCTACTCCTATGTACAATGTAGGATTAAACTGATTTACGCATAGCATGTTTGTTTCATTCAATGTGATGTCTGAGCCACTTCATATCTAAAAATTATTGATATTTTGCTCTCTCTCTGTATCCACGATAACATTATAAAATATAGGGACGTGCGCCGAATATGCAATGTGAAATTTTCAAACAATGCTGTACAAAACTGATGAAGTTTTGTGCATTTAGAAAATAATAATTGAGTTTTCAGTACCTTTAAGACGCCACCGCGGGATGAATAATGCAAATGCATACTCGTATGCATTATTTGAATTAGCACCATAACAACTATCATTTCAAACTTTATATCCTGCATTAAAGTTTTTCATTTCATTTTATTTTCCACGCTAATGCCCCAAATCCTTTAATTTTACAGTCAATAAAGTTTTGCATAACCATCGATAAAAATCAAACACGTTTTTCACATGGCCATAGTGACTTTTACTTTACGATAAAATAAAGTATGTATGTATGTGAAAAGAAAGCTTTTCTTTATCCTAATGTAAAGAGAAGAAATACCTGTTCTATTTATAAACTGGATTTATCCTGGACACTGAACGCCTCAAATGAACAATGGAATGTCATTTCAGTTTGTTTTATTTTGATAATACTGATGCATTTTTAATTAACCCTTAAAGTGCACTGTATAGCTTTTTTATATCACATCAAAATATTTTCATGTTTAAACTAAATAAAACACACCAAACGTAAATTAATAAAATGACACACCCCTAGACTCAATTGAGCAGTCCAATCGCTTAATAAAGTAAGCTTTATAGTGTTCTCATGGTCCTGAAAATTTTAAGATGAAACGCTTAGACGGTTACCGCTCTTGATCATTTCGTCATTATGACGTCATATACTGCGGCACAGTGTGTGCTTTGCGACTAGCCTCCACCGTATACCATATGATAGGCTTATAGGCAACCCGCGTCGTGTCCGGTCGGCCGCGGACGTTAGAACTTTAAGAAATGGATTCTGTTCTGAGACAAGTTTTTCCTTGCCTCCCCTGACGAGTCTCCACTGATACAGTACAGTAAAAATCATCATTGACAGTAGTCTAATTTTTTAATAAAAGTAAATGGGTTTTACAATGTATAAGAACTAAAACGCTGTGATACTGTGGCGTTTAAACATTTTGAGCACAATTACGCGCGCGGTTCTAGCGCAAGCATCATACAGTATAAATAATAAAAATTAACAAAATTCAACAAAGTTAAAAATATATATCTTTTTTAGGCTGTTTGGCATTAATAAATAATAATAAATTCCGGTCATAGGAGCAAAAAGGTTTCTAAAATTTAAACGTTTTTAGGGATTTCGTAGCTACGAATCTTGCATACAAAAATTCCTAAAAACCGTCAACATATGCCGAATAGAATACTTTAACAAAGGACTGCTTAGTTGGGTCGTGAATGCTAAAAGTTCTCTCTTGAAAGCGCTCTCTATAATTTTATACTTAAAAAGTAAAATATTCTGCACCCCGAAATGAATGATCTCTCATTTTTTTGTCGGACAGGTGATTTTTCACTGTTAGAGGGCAAAAGCAATTAAATCTCTATGGCTTTAAATTGAAGCTTATAAATTTAGTTTGAAGTAGTTAACGGTGTTTGGTCCTGACAGAGCGTATCTTGAAAGTACTTGAATACTTCACATCTTTGATAGCAGCGGACGGTCAAGTGGCTCGCCAAAAATAAAACTCGACTACTTACGCACTTTCATCCTTAAATAAAATAATGTTTAAGATTCAACCGTAATTTGGTTGGGGTGCAGTGGCGGCTGGTGGATTTTAAGTATACCAATATCTCAGTTATTAAACATGGGACCCACACCAAATTTATAATAGTTTATATTGACATTAAATAAACAAGTTCGGCGCAAACAGAATTTAAATTGAAGTTTGCGAAAAAAAGTTAGTTTTTCCTGTCGCCTACCCTGCCTCCAGGCCCCCCTATTTGAGATAATTCAAATTAAAGTGGTGCAATTTATTATCCACTATAATTTATCGACAAATTTAAAATTTTATTTAAAAAATCCAAATATTACAGTTTTTATACCATTTTAAATATTTTTTTATTTTAATAAAATAAATAATAAAAATTTAAAATCGAATAAACTCTGTAATATTTGGATTTTTTTAATAAAATTTTAAATTTGTCGATAAATTATAGTAGATAATAAATTGCACCACTTTAATTTGAATTATCTCAAATAGGGGGGCCTGGAGGCAGGGTAGGCGACAGGAAAAACTAACTTTTTTTCGCAAACTTTAATTTAAATTCTGTTTGCGCCGAACTTGTTTATTTAATGTCAATATAAACTATTATAAATTTGGTGTGGGTCCCATGTCTAATAACTG